GCGGCTGCGGCCGGTCGGCGCGGAGCGGGAAAGCGGGCTGGAAGCGGCGGCACCGACCGTGACCGGAGGGGCCGAGCCCCGCTGCCGCCTCCACCCTCCCAGCTCCCTCGGTCTCTCCCGCGCAGGCAGCCGCAGGGGGAGCTGCCCGGTGCCCGCTGAGGGACACCCCCTCCCCCCCCCGCCCCACGCAGTCCCGCTCCCGAGTGGAGCGGTGGGGAGGGGTCGAGGCGAACGCAGCCCCCCGCCCGGCTCTTCCCGGGCAGCCGGCCCTTGTTCTCCTGCGTCGCGGTGTTTCTCCGCCGGGCGAGCAGCCGCACAGCGTGGCTCTGTGCCCCCTGTGGGGGGAGCACGCTGCCCCCTTCGGGGAGCCCCAGCGAACAGCCCACCCACTCGCAGAGCGCTCCCCGGGGCTTCCGGCCTCCTGGGTGATGATGCGGCCCGCTGCTGTGGCAGAGGGTGCCGGAGGGACTGGGCTTGCAGCATCTCGCTGTCCGGATCTGCCGGTGTCGCTGGGCCTTCTGTGGGATTCGGGAGCCTCTTTCACCTCAGTGGGCGAGTTCGTGCAGGAGGCATGCTCCAGTTTAGTTTTCCCTGAGATGGGGATGGGTCTAGAATGAGGAGTTGAGCTGGAAAGGGGAGCAGGGGATGAGTCTGTGCTGTTTCTGACAGTCCCAGGAATGGGCTTGTCCCAGAAAAGAGCCAGACAGCATGTTCTGAGGAAAACGGAGGAAGGACTTTTATCTACTCAGAGCATGCTTAACTGGGGGAACTCCGGGCAAGGAAAGTGGACCCATGTGTTTTGGTGTCTGAAGCAGATGGGAACAGGGGCCTCGTGTTTGGTCTGCATTGCTGAATCCCTTTCCTCTGCTCTGTGTTGCACAGATGCCAGGGAGTCGGTGATCCCACTCCACGAGGGCCACACGTACCATCACTCAGCTTCTCACCACTTCTGCTACACCAACACCCGCGTCCCACAATGGCACGACATATGGACAAGGACACAGGTGAGAGGAGAAGGCAGGTCCTCAGAGGTCTGGCTGTGCTGAGCCCCTCCAGCAGCTGTGTCCATGTCCCTGTTTGCTTCTCTCCCCTGTACAGATCCGGGTCAATAGCAGCCGGATGATCCGAGTCACCCAGGTGGACAGCGAGGAGGAGCTGGAGGAGTTCAACGTGTGGAACATCATTTTCTCCTTCCTGAAGGAGAAGCTGAACGACACCAGCATTGATGTGGATCTCTACAGCAACAAAACCTGCCTGAAGGTTGAGCTGCTGGAGGCTGGCACGACGTACTGTGTCGTCCTCTTCCGACGTACGTCTGCTCTGTGGCAGGGGCTCTTGGGGTGGGAGGTGGGCCTGGGCTGCACCAGCGCTCTCAAGAGGCCAACGAGGATGTGACCAGGCAAGCTTATGGTTTGAGGGCCGGCAGGGCTCGTTCTTCCTTGGGAAGGAAAATGGGCCTGCAGAGGGAAGTGTGTCTTTGTCCACAGGATATAAAGTGGGGGAATTTGGGGCTCTTGGAGGTTTGCCTGGGATGCTGCCCTTTCTCTGTACTTGTGACCATGTGGCAGGCTGGAGCTTGACCTGGAGGGCACCATGCTGGGGTTCCTCTCAACCTGGATTCACTCTCTTTCCAGGCTTTGACCCTAAGCTGTTCCTGCTTTCCTTCCTGGGCCTGTTGTTGTTCTTCTGTGGCGACATGCTGAGCAGGTGAGTCACCTCCTTTCCCTGTGAGCTGGGGACAAGGAGGGTTGGGTGGGCAGTGTCTGGTTGGCTGTGCAGCCTGCAGGGGGTTGCTCCCAGCGGGTGTGTTGGCGCACAGTCATCCATGAGCTGTAAAACACCTTGTGCACATGCGTGATCTCTGCAGGAGCCAACTCTTCTACTACTCGGCTGGGATTAGTTTTGGCTTGCTGGCCTCCCTGCTCATCCTTGTCTACATGATGTCCAAGGTCATGCCCAAGGTGAGTGTCAAGCTGTCTGGAGTGAGAGACCTCGTAGCAGTAGCCCTTTCTACACTTATATGGGTATTCTGGTGAGAGTGCTGGAGTACGTGGCCTTGGGGTGCTGGGTTGTGGGTCTGGCTTTGCCATGGAGCAAGGCTTGGCAGCTGGGGGGAGGTAGCCATGGCTGCCTGCTTCCCTACTGCCTGTCTTGAATTTTCCATCTCCTTTCCTAGAAAAGTCCTGTTTACTTCCTGCTGGTAGGAGGCTGGTCCTTTTCCCTGTACCTGCTTCAGCTGATCTTCAAGAACCTACGCGAGATCTGCAAGTCCTACTGGCAGTACCTCCTAGGTAGGTGTGAGCCCTTCAGACTTGCCGGTTCACCAGTCTGCGTGTCTCCTACTGGAGCTGCAACATGCTGGTGGAAAATGCTGAGCCTTCCTGCCCCCCGGTTGCTGCAGACGCTGCCCTCGTGCTCCTGAGAGAGGTGGGCTCTGGCGTCAGGTTTAACTGCAGCCCTGGCAGATGCTGCTTAGCCAGCTCCTGTCAGCCAGGCTGAGCCCTCCAGTTTGTGCCTGCCCAATCCCTCTGCTCTCCCGCAGGCTACCTGCTGCTCGTGGGCATCGTGAGCTTTGGTGTGTGCTACAGGTATGGCCCGCTGGAGAACGAGCGCAGCATCAACCTCCTCTCCTGGGCCCTGCAGCTCTTGGGCCTGTTGCTGATGTACTCAGGCATCCAGATCCATCCCATCGCCTTGGCCTTGGTGGTCATCGCTGTCTGCACCAAGAACTTGGACTACCCCTTACAGTGGGCCTTTGCGGCCTACAGGTGAGGACCGCAAGCACCCCAGCTTCCTCCTGATTCCCAGCTGTTGTTGGGCCTGGGTGAGCTGCTGGATGGAGTCTGTGTTGCAGAACCAGGGCTTTTTCACTGGGGTTTGGGGCTGGAGTGGGTATACTGGGGGCGTTGTATTCCTTTTTCCCTGGGGTTTGTGCAGGACAGTGACCTGCTCCTCCTCGTGGTTGGGAGCCTCCCTCGGGGGCGAGGAGCAGAGGCTGGAGGGATACACTCTTCTCCCACTGCCAGCTCTGACCCAGCTGGGGGTCCTGCCCTGGCTGGGTGGGCAGTAACTGGTGCTGCTCCACTGGCAGGAGAATGCAGAGTGCCAGGCTCGGGCCAAGCCCCCGTCGTCTGCTGACGGAGGAGGAGTACCGGCTCCAGGGCGAGGTGGAGACGCACAAGGCCCTTGAGGAGCTTCGAAACCACTGCAGAAGCCCGGATTTCTCTGCCTGGACTGCAGTCTCCCGCATCCAGTCTCCCAAGAGGTATCATCCCCTGGCAGTGTGCTCCTGCATCTCTGTGTGCTTCTGAAAGCCTGGGGTCGCTCTGTGCTGTTGCCTCTGGCTTTAGAGATAGGGAGACAGAGGCACAGAAGGTCTGTGGTGTGTGGAAGCAGGGCGTGCTACAGGGAAAGGACAGATAACGCCCGGTCTCGGCACTGAAACGCTTCACTCCGGCTCCTTCTGTGCCAGGGCCTCACAGGAGGCCACCAGGCATGCGTGCACAACACACTTCTTCGTGGCTTCTTCCCAGGTTTGCTGACTTTGTGGGTGGTGCCTGTCATGTCACCCCCAATGAGGTCTCTGTCCATGAGCGGGAGTACGGCCTGGGTGTCATCTTCTTTGAGGACCAGCTCTTTGAGGAGGAAGAGGATGATGATGACTCCTTTGACAGGAATCACATGAGTTATTCCCTGAGCCATGTCCACATGGATGCCGATTGAGGTCAGCTGCCACAGACCCACAGAGGTGAGGGGCAGAACCGCTGCTGCTTTCCCACTGCCCTGACGCCTGCGGAGCGCAAAGCCCCATGTGGCGGGGAGAGCTGGTGTGTCTGCTCGCAGCAACCCCAATCCCACCCCAAAATGGGCTGCTGTGAACTCTGCAGCAGAGCCTGGTGGGAGGAGGACGAGGGGGACTCACACCTTCGTATTCCCCAGGCAGCTCCTGCCAGGCTAAGGTGCGAAAGCTTCTGTCAGCACTGCCCTGGGTGTTGGCAGGGGAGATGCAGGGAGCTGGTCCCAGCTGGGGACAGCAGGCCAGGCAAGGTCTGCGCTGCTGACAAGACGTGAGATGCTGGTCCTGCCTGAAGGTGGACTGGAGCCACCCTGCCTTTTGGTGTGGGTGCTTACGAGTTCCATGTCGTAGGGGCAGGGACCTCCTTCCCAGGCCTGGGCGCTGATCTGGCTCCCGCAAGCACCCTGAGCCCCGTTCCTCAGCACTGCTGCTGTGGCCAGCAGATGGGAGCTCTTCTTCCTCACCCCACTGCCTCTGGGCTGCCAGACACCCTGGCTCTGCTGGGAGCCTCTCTGCCTGCCGGGGTGGGGATGGAGCGAAAGTTCTGTCTTGCGTGCAGGTGCTGGTGAGGGTGACGTGCACGAGAGGAACTTTGGACCTGTCACACCGGTACCTGCGTGCTCAGCATCTGCCTGCTGCCAGGCCGCTGTGGGGAGGGAACAGGCAATGGGTGACCTGCTGCTCCTCCTCCTGCTGTTACCAAAGATGCCAGTGGGCTCCAGCTGGTTGGGCTGTGCCTCTGTCTTGGCTTAAATCCTGTGTGGATACCAAAAACCCCAGCACCTCCCTGATGGAGATGCAACTCTGTCGGCCCCTCCACGTGCATGTCACAGAGCTCAGGAGAAGACAGCCTTGAAGTCTGCTTGGTGCCCCATGTGCTCGCTCCGCTCCCCGCAGCTGCTGTGTTGTGGCAGAGGCTGTGCTCAGCCTCCCGCTCCCTGCACCTCCTGTCTGCCAGGCGGTCCCTGGGCTGAGGATGAGTGTGGATGTGCTTCCTCCTCCCTGCCTTGCTGGTGGTTAGGTGCTGGCAGCTCCCTGTCCCCTTGAAGCTGGTGCCCTGGGGATGGCCCTTCCTGCGTTCCTGCTCCCTGCGCTGGGGAAGAGGGCTCTGCCGATGGTCACTGGCCTTGCCAAAGCACAAAGCTGGAGGGGATGCCCCAATCTATGCAACTTTCTAAGCAATAAAGCTGCCCTCTGGCAGCCTTACTGCCCTGCGGCTGCTCTGCTGCCCTGGGGCCTGGGCTCCCACAGCCCGGCCCGTACCTCGCCCACGCTGCTGCCAGATTTTTTGCTGTTGGTTTGTTTCTGTCCCAGGTTTACTCCCCTGCCTTTGCTGCGCTTTCTTCCCTGCTCTGGTGTGAGCAGTCTCTGTTACTGTGTCCCTCCATGGTTACTGCGTGGTTAATGACTGATTATATTTTTAATAAAGATGTATTTTGTAGGTAATGAGCCTCATTGGTCTGTCCTGCCGTGACCCCAGGGCTCGCCCTCAGCTCTGGCGTGTCCTTTACTGTGGCTCGTCCACCTGTGGGAGCTCGCTCTGCTGAGGATGGTGCTTGGGGGACAAAGAAAAGGCCCCTGGGTGATGGGTTCCCTGCGGCAGCCCCAGACCAAAGGCAGGACTGCCCGTGGCCACGAGTCTCTCACCCCGGCTGCAGTGTGGGCAGGTGTCTTCTCCCTGGGAGCAGCCCTGGGGGATCCTGGCTCTGCCAGCCCCTGTACCTTGCCCTGGTTTCCCGCAGCCCTGAGAGGAAGCTCCCTTTGTTTGCTTGGCTGCAAGTGACATTCTCTGCTTGTTCCTGCTACAAGCTGTTGGGCTGGGGAGGGGGGCATGGCAGCAGCCCAGCCAGGCTGGGACCCTGTGCAGGGCATGGGCTGGGGGCTGGTGGGCAGCCTGGGGCTTCTTCCCAGCTGGCTGATGAGCTTTGTGCCTCAGTTTCCCTGTCTGCGAGTGGGCGTGGTGCCCTGAGGGAGGTCCCTCTGGCCCTCCGCCCCTCCGTGGGCCGGGCGGGGCCAGCACCGGGTGCTGAGCTGGGCTGGGTTGATCCCTGCCGGCTCCCGGGCAGCCCCAGCTGAAGCCACTCCAGGAGCTGCTGCTGCTCTGTGATCAGAAGGTGAGTTGCAGACCCCTCTGCTCCCAGCCTAAAGCACCCGAGCCCCCCCACACCCTGGGGCTGGCCAGGGGCACCCTGTCTCCACAGCCCTGACCCCAGGGTACCCCCACCCCAGGAGACCTCCCAATCCATGGGGCATGGGGAGCTCTGAGACCTGGCACCATGGGGAAGACTGGGGTGAGCCCAGGGCTGCCCTGGAGCTGGAGCAGGGGTCTCTTGCTCTGGTTCCCACCCATGGGCACTCACCCTGGGGTCCCACACCTAGCAGCACGGGGGTCTCGGTGCTGGTGCCCTGTGCAGGGGGAGGCTGCAGGGACCCGCAGGAGGCTCTGCCATCTTGTCTGGAGGCTGCTGCCAGCGGAGCAGCTCCTGATGGAGCCATCTTCATTCCCCCGTTTGCCCCATCTTTCCCCACCTCCTCGCTCGTGAACTTTCCCTGGGCACCGATAAGTGGGGCTGGGTTTACAACCTGTGCCAGGGCTGTAAAGCGAGGGTGAAGGTCACCCCAGGGAATGCAGCTGCTCTGTAAAGATGGGTGAGGGATGGGTGGAGTGTGGGGGGAAAGCAGCACTGTTTCTCCTGAGAGCCCTTGGGTGCTGTTGGCTGCAGGGCTGTCAGGGGGACCTGGGCTCCCTCAGCCCTGAGCCTGTCCCTTCCCCACCCTGGCTGCCCCCTGCCAGGAAGCAGAGAGGAAGCAGAGGCTGAATTCATCCCTGCCCCAAGAATAGGATCCAGGTGTCCACGTTTCCTGGCCTGGCCCCTGCTTCCCCTGCAGCGGTGGGCAGGAGCACAGTGTCCGGCCCCTGCCCCAAGCCACCATCCCTACCACGGGGTCCTGGGCACCATGATGTCCTGGGAAGGAGTCTTCTGTGCCATCGTGGATGCGTGGCTGCCTTGCCCCTGATCCCCAGGGGCTGCCAGCCCCAGCACAGTGCCTGGGAGAGTGGGGCATGGCAGGGTCAGGGAGCAGCCAAGGTCCCAGCAGCAACCCGCTGTCCAAGGGCCACATCCTGCCCTGCCCTGTGCCAGGCTCAGCTGGTGCTTCAAGCCTTGCCATGTGTCTCAGTGGGTCCATGCCTACTGGGTGCCAGGGCACCCCGCTCTCCCTGGTGCCCTTCTGAGCCTCTAAGGGCAGGGGGCAGCTAGGGGCATAGGGGCTGCTGAGGACCAGGGGGGGGGGGTTGGGGAAGGGGCTGCATGTCCATAGCTGCAGCCCTCCCTCCACTCTGCCCCAGCTGCCCCGGAGCCGCCCAGCCATGGAAGCTGCCAACTCGCTGCTGGATGCCGCGGCAGTTGGGGACCTGGTGCTGCTGGACCCGCTGACTGAGGAGTCACTGCTCCACACCCTGCAGGAGCGCTTCCACCGCGGCGACATCTACGTGGGCACCGGGCCAGGGGCAGGGGGTCTGGGGCGGGGAGGGAGGGGGGTCTGGGATGGGGAGCAGCATATGGTCTCTGGAGTGGGGAGCACCAGGATCGGGGCTGGGTCCTCCTGGCTTACACCCACACCATCCTGCTTACCCGCAGACGTACATCGGGAACGTGGTCATCTCGGTGAACCCCTACCGGTCCCTGCCCATCTACACCCCCGAGAAGGTCCAGGAGTACCACAACTGCAACTTCTTCGCTGTGAAGCCCCACATGTGAGCACAGGGAGCCCAGCAGCCCCAGGGTGCCCTCAGTCCCCCTGCACCCTGCCAAGGGCTTCACCCACAGGCGAGCCTGAGGCGTGGGGGTCTGGGAGAGTCTGCTCAGGGTGGCCTACAGCCACAGCATTTTCTGAAGCCCGTGGACTGCTCCAGCCCCCCTCTAACCCCTCCCCACCCCCAGCTATGCCATCGCCGACGATGCCTACCGCTCGCTGCGGGACCGGGACAGGGACCAGTGCATCCTCATCACTGGCGAGAGTGGGGCCGGCAAGACAGGTAGAACCAGGGCTGCTGCCGGGTGCTCACAGGGCTGTGAGGGGCTCAGGGGGCTGGCTGGTGGGCATTCATGGCCCCGACACCCACGGCATCTTGCTTGCAGAGGCCAGCAAGCTGGTGATGTCCTACGTGGCGGCTGTGTGCAGCAAAGGGGAGGAGGTGGACAAGGTGAAGGAGCAGCTCCTGCAGTCCAACCCCGTGCTGGAGGGTAAGCGCCTGGCACCCTGTGCCCATCCCAGGGCTCAGCACAGCCCCCCCGGACCAACGCTGTAACTCCGTCCTCCCCCCACAGCTTTTGGAAACGCCAAGACTGTCCGCAATGACAACTCCTCCCGATTCGTAAGTGACTGGGGAACCAGGGCGGTGGAGTCATGTCCCATGGGGAGCGGGGCCAGACCTTGCCAGGTCCACGTGGACCCTGATGGGGCTGGAGGCATGGCAGGGGACAGGGACGTGGACATGGGGAGCGGAGCTGCCATTCGCCGTGGGCTCCCCCTGCCCTGACCCCAGCCCTGTCCCTCAGGGCAAGTACATGGACGTCGAGTTCGACTTCAAGGGGGAGCCCCTGGGAGGGGTCATTAGCAACTGTGAGTACCGATCACCCATCCTGGGGGGTCCCACCTCACACGCACTGGTGACGCTGACCCCTGCCTGCAGACTTGCTGGAGAAATCCCGCATTGTCCGGCACGTGAAGGGCGAGAGGAACTTCCACATCTTCTACCAGCTCCTAGCCGGGGGCTCAGTGAAGCAGCTCCGTAGGTCCAGACCGCCCAGCACAGGGGGTCAGGGGGGGACCAGGGGCCTGGGGGGGGCCATAGCTGAGCTGCCTCCTCCCTGCCACCCCCCAGAGCATCTGAAGCTCCGCCAGGACTGCCGGCACTACAGCTACCTGAACCGGGAGAGCTCTGGCCTGCCCGGCATGGATGATGCAGCCAACTTCCATGCCACGCAGGTACCACTGGCCAGGACCTGGGGAGCAGGGAAGCCATGACGTGCCCCCCCCCCCCCAAAACCAGCCTGGGGCCAACCCCATCCCCCTGAGCTGCCTGTGCCCATCCCCAGGATGCCATGAGGATCATCGGCTTCTCGCCCGCCGAGGTGATGGCGCTGCTGGAGGTGACAGCAGTGGTGCTCAAGCTGGGCAACGTGCAGCTGAGCAGCAGCTACCAGGCCAGCGGGATGGAGGCCTGCAGCATCGCTGAACCGCAGGGTAAGTGCAGGGATGGGGATGGGCCTGGGGCGGGATGGTGGGGGAGGCTCTTCCCCCCCCCCCGCTCGGCCCTGGCACCGCTGCCTCCCTGCACAGAGCTGCAGGAGATCTGCGAGCTGATCGGGCTGGACCCCAGCAGGCTGGAGCGGGCGCTGTGCTCCCGCACAGTGAAGGCACGGGACGAGATGGTGCTAACCACCCTCAGCGTCCCCCAGGTGAGCGGGACCATACCCTGCCCATGGGCTGATGGCCGGCAGCCCCCCAGGAGCCAGCGTGAGCCCCTCACCCCTCTTCCCAGGGCTACTACGGCCGGGACGCGCTGGCCAAGAACATCTACAGCCGCCTCTTCGACTGGCTGGTGAACCGCATCAACGCCAGCATCCAGGTGAGTGCCCAGGATGACAGGCACTGGCCCCCCCATCCAGGATGGGACCCTGGACCCCCACCCCACACAGGACCAGGACACAGCTCAGCACCCCGCTGTCTCCCCAGGTGAAGCCAGGCAAGCAGAGGAAGGTGATGGGTGTCCTGGATATCTACGGCTTTGAGATCTTCCAGGTGAGCGCAGAGCCCACCTGGCCCCATCCTGCTGCTGGGGGGTCCGGGGCAGCGGGTGGGACATGTGGCAGGGCTGGGGGCTTGGGCGCAACCTGCCACACAGGACCCTTCTCTTGCAGGACAACAGCTTTGAGCAGTTCATCATCAACTACTGCAACGAGAAGCTGCAGCAGATCTTCATCCTGATGACCCTGAAGGAGGAGCAGGAGGAATATGTCCGAGAGGTACCCCCGGCCCATGCCGGTCAGACTGGATGCAGCTCTTCTACCCATGCCAGAGCACGGCCCCTGAGGAGTCTTGGCCCCCCGAGGATGGGGAAGTGCCGGAGACAGCTCCATGGCACATCCCTCCCTCGCCCCGCTCCCTGCCGGGAATAGATTCAATAGCAGGAAGGCAGGGAGGGATTCGGGATCCCTGTCCCCGTGGCCGGACGTCCGGTTCCTGCCCCACAATAGCTAGGGGGGTTGTCTGTGGGGCAGGGTCTGGGTGGTCCATGTGACATGTGGCTGGAAGGTCTGTGCATCTGACCCCCGTCTGTTCCTAGGGCATCCAGTGGACCCCAGTGGAGTTTTTTGACAACAGCATCATCTGCAACTTGATCGAGAACGTGAGTTGCCCCCCAGTGCCGGGGTCCCAGGTTGGGGTCCCAACTCCCCTCCATCACACCTGGCACAAGTTCGGGATGAGCAGAGCCTGGAGCAGCCCCACTTCGATGGAGCTGCTGCTCAGGGCCGGGGCCGTTTTGGGGTGACGCTGTCTATCACGGCACAGAGCAAGTGCGGGATCCTGGCCATGCTGGACGAGGAGTGCCTACGGCCCGGTGTGGTCAATGAGGACACCTTCCTCACCAAGCTGAACCAGCTCTTTGCCACCCACAAGCACTACGAGAGCAAGGAGACACAGAACGCCCGGCGCATCATGGACGCCAGCTTGCCGCCACAATGCTTCCGCATCCACCACTACGCTGGCAAGGTCTGCCAGCGGCCACGGGCACCCACCGGCACCCACAGCCCCGGCCCCAACAGGGGAAGCCAGGACCCCTGGGTCCATTTCCCAGCTTTGCATGGGAGCTGTGGGGCTGGACTGGGAAAGGGGTCAGAGGCACTGAACCATATCCCACTCTCTCCCTCCTCCCTCCCCGAACGCGGCCCCCCCCATGCACCCCGCTGAGCGCTGACCCCGCTCCTGCGCCCAGGTGACCTACAACGTGATGGGCTTCATCGAGAAGAACAACGACCTGCTCTTCCGTGACCTCTCGCAGGCCATGTGGGCTGCCCAGCACGCGCTGCTGCGCTCCCTCTTCCCCGAGGGAGACCCCCAGAAGGTCTCCCTCAAGCTGCCCCCCACCGCCGGCTTCCAGTTCAAGGCCTCGGTGGCGACGCTGATGAAGAACCTCTACTCCAAGAACCCCAACTACATCAGGTACCGGCCCTGGGGGGACCCCCGACCCCAGCCCTGGTGCCAGTGGGACCCCCCACCCCCCTCTCAGCCCACTGCTGCTCCCTCCAGGTGCATCAAGCCCAACGAGACCAAAACAGCAATGCTCTTCACACCGGAGCTGGTGCTGGCGCAGATCCGGTACCTGGGGCTGATGGAGAACGTGCGGGTGCGGCGGGCAGGCTATGCCTTCCGCCAGCTCTACGGCCCCTTCCTGGAGCGCTACAAGATGCTCAGCCCCCAGACCTGGCCCCGCTGGGCTGGCAGCGACAGGTACGGGGCTGGGACAGACCGTGGGCGCATCTGGCAGCCCCCTCCCCGGTTCAGGGGCTGCAGGGCTGTGACCGGCCTTGTCTCCCACCACGGTGCAGGGATGGAGCCGAGGTGCTGCTGGCAGAGCTGGCATTCCCCCCCGAGGAGCTGGCGTTCGGCCACACCAAGATCTTCATCCGCTCACCACGCACCGTGAGTCCAGGGATGGGAGAGCGGGGGCACGGGGGTGACCCTGCTATGGGGCAGTTGGGCTGCCAGGTGGGGCAGGGTCTGACCTTCTCAGAGCAGGTGCCAGCCCCACGGGTCCCCTTGCCCCGCCGGCAGCCCTGAGCCCATCCCAGGGGCTCCTGGGTGATGCCGCAGCCCCCGGAGGTTGCTCCCGGCCGGGGGTCCCTGTCCCCGCTTGGCGCCCCAGCGCTCACCCTGGCTGTCCCCAGCTCTTTGACCTGGAGAGGCAGCGCCAGGAGCGTGTGGTCCAGCTTGCCACCCTGATCCAGAAGATGTTTCGGGGCTGGCGGTGCCGAATGCATTACCAGCGGATGCGCAAGAGCCAGATCATCATCTCCGCCTGGTTCCGGGGCCACATGGTGAGAAAGGAGCAGGGGATCCTGGCTGCACTTCCCCTGCCCCATCCCTCACCCCCTGGGCAGGGCCCCCTGGCTCTCCCAAGCCCCCTGGCTCACCCCAGCTCTCCCCACCACAGCAAAAGAACAAGTACAAGCAGATGAAGCGGTCGGCGCTGATCATCCAGGCGCACGTGCGGGGTTGGAAGGTGAGGGCTGGGCACCCCACGGCTGTTGGCCGGGGCCGGCAGGTCTCCTAGTGCGGGCAGCATGGGCAGCGGGGTGGGGGGTGCGTGGCAGGGAGGGGCTGGGGGCTCCGACTCATCTCCTCTCCCCATCTTCTGTCCTTCTCTCCTGCCTCTCTCCGGCTCGCTCCCTATCTGTGTTGGTCTTTCCCTGCCTTGGGCTCCCCGGGCTCTCACCCCTCGCAGTCTCGCCGGCTCCTCCGGGAGCTGAAGTTCCAGCGCCACCGTCACGCGGCTGCCGCCACCATCGCCGCTTACTGGAGAGGGTACCAGGTAACGGGGCCAGCCCGGCTGCGGGGCCCTGCGCGCTGCCTCTGTCCTGCTGTCCACACCGCTGTGTCCAGGGCTGTCTGTCTGTCTGCCCACCCTGGCTCCTGCCCACCCTGTCAGGCTGGAGCAGCTGTCCTCTCCGCTGGGGCCGGACGGGGGGGGATGGGGACACCGGGGTCCCATGGGGGGTGGCAATGGGAGGGTGGCGAGGTCCCACGTCCCCACCGCTGCCGCCACTGATGGCTGTCTCCGGCAGGTCCGCAGGGCATACAGGAGGTATTTCCGTGCTGGGGCCAGCGCCCGCCTGGCCAACTTCATCTACCGGCGGCTGGTGAGCGGGGCCAGAGGGGAGAGGGGGCACGGCACCTTCCAGCCCCCCATCCCTGGGGCTGGACCGGGGACTCTCCTGACCCCCTGCTGCGTTGCCACTTCCAGGTGCAGAAGTTCCTGGTGAGCCTGGGAAGGAACCTCCCGTCACTGGTGGTGACGGACCGGACCTGGCCCCCTGCGCCATACAAGTTCCTGGCTGACGCCAACCAGGAGCTGAGGAGCATCTTCTACCACTGGAAGGTGGGAGCAGGGGGCGGGGAGGTGGGGGGGCTCCGGTTGGGACCTTGTGTTCTTCCATGCCAGCTCTTGCCTGGGGGTCTTGAGCAGCACCGAATCGCCCCCTCCCTCGGCAGTGCAAGAAGTACCGGGAGCAGCTGACGCCGCAGCGCAGGGCTCTGCTGCAGGCCAAGCTCTGCGCCAGCGAGCTCTTCAAGGACAAGAAGACGCTCTACTCCAAAAGGTGCCAGGGCTGGGGGCTGCCGGGGCAGCGGGCGGGTGCATGGGGCAGCTCCGGCTGATGGTCTCCATCCCCAGCCTGCAGCAGCCCTTCCAAGGCGAGTACCTGGGGCTGACGCAGAACCCCAAGTACCAGAAGCTCCATGCCGTGGCCAAGGACAAGCTGGTGATGGCCGACACCGTGAGGAAGGTGAACAGAGCCAGTGGCAAGGTGAGCCCCCTCCCTGTCCCCACCGCACCAGGAGGGTGTGCGGGGCCATGCTGACCCCCCCCGCCCGCAGACGGTCCCGCGCCTGCTGCTGCTCACCACCGAGCACCTGGTCCTGGCCGACCCCAAGGCCGCCCAGCCCAAGACCGTGCTCAGCCTGGGTGACATCCGCAGCGTCTCCGTCACCCGCTTCTCTGATGGCTTCCTGGCCCTGCACCTCAAGGAGGTACCCGGGAAGGGGCGTCCCTGGGGGCTCAGGGGGTCCCTGGTGGGACTGACACCCCCTGCTCCCCACAGACCTCCACGGGGGGAGCCAAGGGCGACTTCTTGCTTGTCAGCGACCACCTCATCGAGCTCATCACCCGCCTGCACCAGACCCTCATGGACACCACTGCCCAGGCCCTGCCCCTGCACATCACCGACCAGTACGGGTGGGGTGGGGGGTGGAGCTACCAAGGGTGGGCCCTGCAGGGCGGAGCAAGACTTGCAGGGGTGGACCTTGCAGGGCGGGGCAGGGTGGTGTCTGGGGTGGAGCTCACAAGGGTGGGGTAGGACGGGGTGAGGCTTGTGGGGGTGGAGCTTGCAAGGGTGGGGTCCACAGGGTGGGGCATCAGCTGTGGCAGGCAACCTCAGAGGGGGGGATGAAAGGAAAGCAGATCAGTGGGCAGGAGGTGGGGCGGGGCTGGGCATGTCCCCACCTCACCCCACCCCTCCAGCCTGCCCCCC